GCTCGTCCTGGAAGATGCATGCTTTTGGAAACGAAGAAGCAGTCTCTCTGGAGCAGCTCTTTGGGTTTTTCTGCGAGTGCGTACGGCATGGAGACTGGGAGCTTGCGCAGGCCTGCGTGCCCCAGCTGAGCCAGTGGCACGGGGAAGGCCCTGAGAAGGTGGAAGCAATTCTTCAGGCTCTGGTAGCTTGTCCCGTGGTGGTAAGGTAGGTAAGGTACTGTTTTGGTTCAGTGGGCTTGAGTGTGAAATGAGGAGGAGCAATTAGTGGTGAGTGTAGGAGACAGGTAGAATCTGGGAAATAGCACTTGCTTTGGTGCTGAGGTGTCTTGGATGTGTCTGGTTGTGCTGTTACCTGAACGTTGACATCTTATCACTGCCCAAGCACTTAGCAGGCTGCCCAGCCAACTTGGGATAATGAGCTGTGTTCATTTATGCAGTTGACATGGTGATTGATACAAGCTTAAAACCATTTGGAAGCGCTTCAGAACTGATTGTTAGATTTTACTGAAGGATAAGAAGGACAAGTAACATCTCCTGAAATTACATTCCTTTGACACTGAACTTTGGTTAATTTAGAAATGGAACCACCAAGATCTGCACTGTAGTTATTTAAATAAATGTCCTCTTGTTTCCAACTCTTGAAAGATCTTCCAATTTATAAAAATTTAAACTAAAAAAATAAAATTATGCTATTGATTTCTTATTTCTCTCACACTGGATTTTGAAATAGCATTGGTTTTACTCAGTCCTAGTTAGTTTGCTTTTCAGGTGGGTTCATATGAAGGGTGACTTTCCAGCACTTCAGAGAACGTTGACATTCCCCCTCTCCAAGCAGATGATCATGTTTCTTCACATTAAAATTTGTGTAACATTTTGGTAAAGATTCTAAGAAACAGTTTACACTGACAGCAGTCAAAGGAGTCTGGAGGAAGGTGTGCACATGGTTAGACAAATATTGCTAACAGCTGTGTGAGACATAAGCATTTTTTATCGTTGATAGATGGGCTATCACATCTAAAGGCTTTCATTAGCAGTGCTGAGATTTTTAAAGGCCAATAAACTGTCTCATGCTTTTTCCTTTTCCTAATCCATTCAATAGTACTAAATACGTTCCCTAACTGTAGGTTTTGGAATGTGTGTATAAGTACTGGTGCACATGAAAAGCTGATGGAAATTAGAAGTATTCATTGTTTAATTAGTACATTACTTCACTTTTAGTTTGGACATAGAGCTGAACTTGTGCTGCTGTGACCTAAAACTTAGTTTAATTTTTTCGGGTAGAACTAGACAGAACAGGAAATAGCGGTGTTTGGCAAGTGGTCAGATTTCAAAGTAATCTGCTGAAGTGCTCAAAGAGGGCTATACAGACTGAACTTTAGACCAGAAATAAATGTCATTGTTTAGAAGCAAAGAACTATGTCAGTAGTGTTGGTATTTGGCAGATCTAAAACCAGTTATTTGCACAGCAGAAATCATTGAGTTAATGTGTAAGTAGTACCAATATTCTGGTTTCTCTGCATTCTCTTCCTGTCTGACTCATCTTCAGCTATTTAGTCATCTTTGGTTTTATCTTACACAAAGAAGTACAAAAATCAAGATGACCTCTGACAGTGTTTTCCTGGATCTTGGAGATGGGAACGACCTTCTATAATCCAGTGTATGTGCTTATTGCTTTTGTAGATGGGGACAGAATTCTAGCCCGTGGAGAGCTGCATGGCTTTGGCTTCTTGTGCTGGAGAAATGGCTTGCCAGGAATCAGGTACAGAAACATCTAGCTGACTTCCAAGTATGACTTAATGCTCTGACTTCTAGCTGACTTCCAAGTGCAACATGTCTGCCTAGTTGCTAATTTAAATTATAGGCTTTCCCATGTTTTACAGAATTAAGTTCTCAAGGTAGCTGGAAAGGTGCATTGCTTTTGCTTTTAACAAACTTGTCAAGAAACAACTGTTAATCTTCTCCACACTGGAGAGAAAAATCAGGATTTTTTTTTTGTTGTTATTGTTGTTTAGGTAACAGAAGTTGGTTTTTTAGCATTGAGTATTTCTGTAAATGGAAAGCATGAATGTATCGACTTCTGCATTTGTGTAGCACCTTTCTTACATTAAAGATGAAATAGCTCAGACATCAGACAATTATTTATAAGCTTTAGATGGTGAGGGATGTTCTTGGTGTATTGCTGTTTTCAGACAGGTGCAGTATGTTTCACGAGTAAAGGAGAAACTAGTCTTTTTCCTCTTTTTTTTTTTTTAAATTGGTACACTGGGATGTGTGATCATCCTTTTTTAAAATTCATTTGTCCTTGTTACTACTTAGACTTGCATTTTTTCTTTATCTTCTGAGGAATTGTCTCTAATTGATGGGATTGTAATTCCTGACAAAGTGACACTTGTCTCTCTTTCCAAATATATAGATAAATGGAATCCACTGGTGCGGGAGCAGAACCTAATTGTGGAATAGCCTTTAATTGAGAATTGGGTATCTTCAGAGAGATATTTCAGTCTGCCTCAAACTGTTAGTGAAATAGCTAAGATTAAGTTTATATGGTAATGTAAATAAATAAAAGTTTTATTGGCTAACATCTTTCCCATTCTCTTCTATTGTTTCAGAAAACTGTTCCAGTTGTTCTTCAGAAGGAAACTGAATTTTTATTGTTCTTGGAAGAACTACAGAAAGATGTCTCTGAGGAAGTCCTAAAGGTGAGCTACTTGGTATGCACTAGTTCTTCCTGTTAGTTATGCAGCATGTCCAACTTAATCAGGTTTTGGGATTGAAGTTAACACTCCCTGCTAACTTGACTGCCTGAGATGCTAGTGTATTATTAGTCTTCTAGGCAACTGAAAGAGACTGTAATTCAGATCCCTTTCTGAAGTTAATCCAATGTGCCCACAAGTGATTTCTCTGGCTAGAGAGGAGGCTGTAGGCAGGCAAGGAACAAGCTTTTCTACGTCATCTTTCTAACACACTTCAGTCCTGACTGCAGCTACTTGCCACAGTCTTATATCTATAAACTCCTTTAGTAGTCATAAAACTAAAACTCTCTGTGAACCAAAATAAACCATGGTCAGGTAGCACATTTTAAAAGTATGTCTATTTTCTTTTTCTTCCTCCTAAGATCTTAATTTTCATCTCCTCCACACCTCTTTTCCCCCTTCCTGGAAGTGTTTGGGTGCTGTACTGTTACTACTGACATTATTTGGTAATTGGTATGATGTGCACTCTGAGGTCCAGGACCCATTTTTCCATTATTAATTAATACATGCAGACTGGTTTATTTGAGAAATATATGGAAATGCACAAACATGGATTAATATCAAAAGCAAGTATAGAGCAGAAAATCAGGAGAGTTACTAACTGTAACTGTCCTAATTTGGTGTTGATTACAATAGAATTGGCGTGTGGAATGTCCTCAGATGTTGCTTCTAGTCTTACAGGTTCTAATTCTTAAAATAATTTTTTTTGTTTGC